ACATAAAGATATTTGGCATTTGATAGACACTAACAGACGTCCGCCGATTCGGCGCACGTCCACAGAGCGATGTACTTGTGATTAGACATGCACTACAATGCAACACATTCCTTGTGTCGTGCCTAAGGAAACCGATAATACAGAATGATTAACATATTTAATATTCTTCCCACTGATTTCGACAACTGTGACAACTCTTCTTGGCGTTCGAAAGTAGAAATGTGCGTAGAAACAATTCGGTAGGTACACTTTGCCTCAAGCATTCGTTCACACTTCACATGACCTCGGATTTTTCTTTTATATATTTTTCAACATGCAGAGTTCCGATGTTTCATGAGTGTGTAACTAGTAGCAGCAAGTTGCAGAGTAATTCCCACCGGTAACATTTATAATTCCTATTTTTTTAACAGCCAGTAACATTTTCAATCTCAGTGGCCAGTTTGTTGAAAGTTTTTTAGCTGGTACAGACACGCTGCAGCTTTATTATGGTTGTGGCACCAATGGGTTAGCTCGGTCGGGGTAGGTATTCGAAATCTTGGTGCTTTTCGAATACCAGAGTAAAATAGCAACTTAATGCTGCTGTATTTCGTATAGTGAGTGTAGAGAACCGGAGACACTTTTTACTGGAACAGAGGCATTCCATCTTAATCCTTAGGGGTTTCAACGCATCTGCATTGTGATTCTTAACTGAGGATAAAATATAGATGTCTATGGGCCACAGCATCCACTTACCAGCAGGTGAACTGTGTGCTTGTTTGTCATTCTTAATGTATTTAAAAAACGACATGCATGCATCCCAGTTATTACGATTTAACCGACTTCAAAAAAGGAGGAGGTATTCAATTCATCTGTATTAATTATGTGTGTTACCTCAGAACTTTTTCTAGGTTAACTGATTTTGATGATTCTTTTTTTATTTGAAAGCTGGTGCCTATCATATGGTCTCATATAAATTTAATCAAGATCTGATCAGTAGCTTTTGAGTTATCCTTAATAGTGGGTATATAATTGGCTTCGACTACATTGATTATGTTCTCATTTTATTTATATTGAAGTTGTTTGTACAATTTTGTTGATTTTATTGTCTTGTTGTGTCTTGAAGCCACGGAGAAATTTTGAATTTGAATTTTTGTATTGCTTGACTTCACTAAACTGTAATATATCTTTATGACTGCAAACACATTATAAATATTTGAAGTCTTGTTATTTACGCATAAGCCTGATAATACAAACCACACATAAGAGTGGGCATTTTACGCGCCACAATTTACAGACAAAACCTTACGGTCAGCTCTTAACAACACACGATAAATACTATTGTATTTTGTTGTTCAACTCGGGCAGTTATTTATGACATTATTAATTATATTTTCAGTGACTACTAGGGTTGCCAGCTCCCGTTTTATGTTTTAGAGGATATTATAATAAGATAAGGATATAGAATGAAAAAAGTTAGAAGTAGTTAAAAGTTAAAATTACAGCCTATACACACCATACATGTCCCACTGCTGGGCGCAGGCCTCCTCTCATTTCTGAAAGGGTTTTAGGGCAAATAATATGCGTACTGCGGACCTACACACGTCTCCGTTGGCGACCTACACATGTCTTCGAAATATTTTTTTCTTATTTCTCAGACATGCAGGTTTCCTAACGATGTTTTTCTTCACCGTCGAGCACGTGATAAATCAGCACTTAAAATTTGAAAAATGTCAATGGTGTCGGTGGGGGTCGAACCTGGGTTGCTCGCGTACTGTGAAATTCACAGCGAGCACTTAGCCCTCAGCTACCACGACTTTATTTATAAAAACAAAAAATGTTGTTACGTAATGTAACGTAGTTTGTCTGCAACATCGCATGTCATCTCAGAGTGATATTTATACTCTTTCACCTCAACTAGCAGAGGCGTTAAATACGCACAATAATGCCTCGTCCTCTATTATAGATTTAAAATTAGGAGACAATATAAATTTTTGGGTCTAAAATTGAGGATGTCCTTTAAAATAATGGACGTCTGGCAACCCTAGTGACTACACACCTACATAGAATTTTTAAATGCTTATTCCAGTTTCGTTTAATAACACGCGCCCAAACAAAGCCGCGTATTGACAGCGGGGTGAATTATAATGTAATTATTTATTTGACTGTCTATGATATGTAGCGATCTTGTACTGTAACTAGTCTAGCGTGGCCTTCTTTTACCAAAACGAAAGGTCGGAAGAGTAAACTCATAGTATTAAAAATTTTGAGATTATAATTATCTTTACATCTTTACCCGACTGAGGTAGACCAAAAAGTTAGTATTCAAAGTTAAAAGATTACAAAATAATCCTTACTTCTTTACCCTACTGATGTTGACCAAAGTATTTTAACCGTTTAATAATTCATGTCATTATTTGAATCCCATTAGGATCCGTTGCATTTAACAATGTCCTTTTATCCGAAAAACAGTAATATTTTAACCGGTATGCCTGTTCGTTTCACCACATTTAAGTCCTTAACTAGTCTCCAAATTTTAACAATTAATAATATTTAAAAATAATGATTTCTTACATTTACGCGAACACTACACATTTAAATCAAACTAGTTATACGTAAAACTACTTTCATTTAAAAAGTTATAAACTTTCATTTATACGAATATAAATACGTTATCTGCTTTACAAATAATGTATAATCTATAATTGTACAATTCATAGATAATTAGTTTGAGTTTTGGCGGGAACTTGACCGGCGGTGGATTGCTGCTCCTGTATTATTGTTTAAATATTAGTTTTAAGCGGATTTTGATCATGTAAATTTTTAGTGGAAACGGTGAAACAATTAAGTAAAAATTAGGCGCCTTGATACTATCGCCAACTGCGTGTGCTGGCTCCCAAAAACTACACAATGTGACGCATTAACATATTTTTAATCAATGTACTATATGTAAAAGATCATTTTCACTTGATACTGAGATAAATGAAGATATGGCTTAAAGGACAAACATCCAAGCCAAAAATGGTATTAAAAAAAGATGATTGGTTTATTATAATTGTGTAGTCTAGACTTTCGGTGCAATTCAAATATATAAAAACTGTACGTTCGTTACAAGTTCAAAAAATTAAATATCTTAGCGGGCACGCAACCGAATTGAACCTACTGTAATATACTTGTAACAGTTCCAAGGAGCTTTATTTTATCTCCCTCGTTCTATTCTGAACAATCGATTTGTCATTATTGCGCGTCTAAAAAGACTACATGAAATCAATATTAACGTAAATATGGCGGACATAAACTGTTGAAAAGAATCAGCCTTAATATTTTATATAGTGTTTTATACGTGGTAGAGCCATGCTGCAGCTATATTAGTAGTATAGTTGTAGCACGAATAGGTCGGCTCGTACGGGGAAGGACCACGCTCTCACAGAATACCAGTAAAATTTGTAGAGATACTAATAATGTAGAGAACTGGAGTCCCTTTTTACTGGAAAAGAGGCATTCTATCTTAGTCCTCACGGTTGACAACGCATCTGCATTTTGGGTTACATGCTGTTTATGGGTTACAGCAACCACTTACCATCAGGTGGACTGTGTGCTCGTTTGTCACCTTATTCCTATAAAAAAAATTATTATCAAATGTACATATCGTATATGGTATCAAATACAAAGTATTAATTAAAGGATTGGAAAGGCGCTGATGGCCGCGGCTTCGAATCCCGTACGAAACAAACGTTTGTATGGCAACAAATAATTGATCGTAGTTTGGATGTTTGTCCATGTGTTTTGGAACGAAGTTCCTTATCCGGTACGAATTTGGCGGATTGGCGCTAGGCGAGAAAAGTGTAAGATTTTTTGCTCACGACCCCTTCTGACGTAGTGTAGACGGCCTTGACTGATATAAGGAAGCGAGATAGAATGATATCCAACTCCCTCGCACTTTTTCTTATCTTCCCATTCAGGAAATATAATTTTAAATGACGTTATTAATTCATTTATTTGTATTTGTTAGTCAGTAATATAAAACGTTTATCAATAATACTAAATTACGAAAATGACTTCGTTCCAACCGAGTGTTCCACGACACTCACGCTTTTTTTTAATTAATGTAATATGAGAAACACCTCCACGATTCAGGAGAAAATCTTAGTAGTGGGTTAGATAAGGTAAATTGGTTAATAATAATATCAAATAAAAAAGGGAGGAAGGTCTCCGGTTCTGATTCCACACCATACAAAACTGGTGTTCCGTACGAGCCGCAGACTAACAAAGAACCACAAGCATATTTCAAGTACGGCCGAAACCATGTCAACTTCTTACGTGGTAGAGTCATGCTGCAACTATATTAGTAGTAGGTATGGTTGTAGCACGAATGGATCGGCTCGAATGGGGAAGGACCACGCTCTCACAGAATACCATTGTAAAATAGCAGCTTAACAATGCTGTGTTTCGTATGGTGACTTTAGAGAACCAGAGAACCTTTTTACTGGAAACGAGGCATTACATCTTAGTCCTCACGGGTGACAACGCATCTGCATTTTGATTCGTAATTAAGAATAGATTTAGATGTCTATGGACCGCAGCAACCACTTACCATCAGGTGGACTGTGTGCTTGTTTGTCACCTTTATCCTATAAAAAAACTTCTTGACACGGTTTCGACCGTACACGCCCTCACATACACCTGTTTCTTATTTAATTTTTAACAGTCCATAAAAGTTTACACCTGGACGCACACTAATGCACTTAAAACCATAATCTTAGTTGTAAATATATGCATGTGAGTGTGAGAACAAATAGATACCGGCGATTCTGTTTCGTGTGGTAAGTGTAGAGAAGTGGAGACCCTTTTTAGTGAAAACGAGACATTCTATCTTAGTCCTCTGGGATGACGACGTATCTGCATTTTGATTGTTAGTTGAGAATAAATGTAGCTATCTATCATCTGTGTGCTCGTTTGTCACCCTTATTCTATACAACAAAAAAAAACAATGACTAAAGAAGTATAAAACAGAGGATACTGACCCGACAAACTGGCTAGGGGCTCGGTCGTCAAGCGTGCGGGCGCCTCGCGGCCAGTGGCGCGGGCGCGTCGAGCTGTACGGCGAGCCGTGCGGCGAACTGTGCGGCGAGCGCGGCTCACCCGCCGCGCCCAGCACCAGCAGCGCCACGACCATCCACCGCGCCTTCATTGCGCCTCCATCACCCTGACAACAGACAAACACACATCAAAGTCAAATTCTTAAATGTATATTTGGCATTGTTATCAATTGGTGATGTAATTGTTGGTAAAACTACATCTTTAAATTTGTGATTTGAACTAACACATGTTCTTGTTTCACAAATTTCTTTTTAATTTTATGTTTAAAAAAAGAACCTTACAGTTCCTATCGCGCCCAATTTAACGTTTCATGAAAGAAAATTAACAGTATTTAATAATATTTTTAAATAAGTTAAGTAAAATAAAAAAAAACATTTAAATTGTTTTAGCCATTTACGAGAAATCGATGAACATAAAAAAACAAACGCGTCGAACATAAAATCTCCTTTTTGGAAGTCGATCAAAAAGGTAATTCATAGCGAAGCAAACACAATGTATTCACAGAATTGTGTATTACGGACAGTTAAATGATATTGATAAGGTAAATGATTACAATACTTGAAGTCTTCTAAATTCGGCACTGAACCCACACAGTAGTAACTATCGAAATTGTTTAGAACTGAAGGTCAACGGTCAATGTTGGGATCATGTTAAGTAATAAATAAAGCTAATATGTAACAGTACTTAGTTAATTAGTAATGTTAAATGGACAATATAATAATAATAATGTATTATTTCAAGCAAAGAATATGTTAAGATGTTTAAGATTATACATTTCACTGTATATTAATATTTTATGAAAATTCAAAACCAAATTTAAGAATGTAGGAAAAATAATGTTTTGCAGAAGATAGCTTATGACTCTCTTTTTCAGCAATATACGACCTAGACCCAATATTTAACTTTAAACAAAGCAAAAATTGTTAAAAGATTTACCATACTACTACTATTTAAGAGTACATGATTGTTAATAGCCTCTGGGAATGAGGTGATCGCTACCATGCTGTTTCTAAATATGTTTCTATTAAATTGTGTAAAATATTAATAAATAAATAAAAGTTTTAAATGCGAATTTTTTCGAACATTAATTTAAAATATAATATTAAACTTGTTCGAAAAAAGTTTAAAAAAAAAAAGGAAAAACTTGGCGCAAATGAATCAGTATTGTTTTGATGTTATCATCGAAAACTGCTCCTAATTCAGCCGTAGATTGAAATACCATCAGCTTCCACAATCGCCTTTAGTTCGTCATTGTCGTCCAAAGTTTTAGAACGACCACGGGGTTAATTTTTCAGAAATTTTAATTCATTTTTTTAAAAAAAATTCCAGAACGGAAGCGATCAAATCAATAACAGGTATTAGTGGTGCGTTCGTTTGTAGTATTCGCTCGGTAAACGGCGTTGATGTTGCGTGCCGCTTGTGCCGCGTTGCTGCTACGACAGTATTCATACATATTATAATTACTCGAATTTTTAACGTATCCATGATAACGATAATTTAAAATTAAAAATTTTGTACAGCCGACTTCAATATAAGTTATTTAAGAATAACTTAAAAACTATTGGTCTGACCTTGATCAAAATCATATGGGACCACACGAGAAGTACCAGCTTTCAAATAAAAAAAGAATCATCGAAATCGGTTCACCCAGAAAAAAGTTCTGAGGTAACACACATAAAAAAAAAAACGAAAAAAAAAACATACAGTCGAATTGAGTACCGGCTCCTTTTCGGAAGTCGGCAGAAAAAGATTCAAATACGATGAAAACATAACGCTAATCAATAAACAAATGACTAATTTTGAAAAAAGAATTCCATATTTTTAAAATAAAATTAATTTGAAATTAGAATTATTAGCCAAACAAAAATTATTTTGATTTGAAATGGCTAGTACTGCAGAACAGCAATTTCATATGTAAAGACCTAGATATTATTTATTTTAATTTCTTTATTGACATGCCTGTAAAAGGTTAATAGGTGTATATACTATTTGTAATTTATATTCAAACACTAAATAATTAAAAAAATATAGTGAAAAGTTTCACAGCTGGTCCTTTTCATTCCTGGGAGGGTTTTAAGGCAAGTAAATGGCCGTCACGCTGCCCTAGTACGTGTTAACGAACTTTACACGTCTTCAATTTTTTTTTAAAAATGGTAAATGAGCACACAGTCCACCTGATGTTAAGTGGTTACTGTGGCCCATAGACATCTAAATCCATCCTCAACTACGAATCAAAACGCAGATGCGTTGTCACCCGTGAGGACTAAGAGGGAATGCCTCCTTTCCAGTAAAAAGGGTGTCCGGTTCTCTACACTCATCGAGAGCGTGGTCCTTCCCCGGTCGAGCCGACCCATTCGTGCTACAATTATACCAGTAATATAGCTGCAGCATGGCTCTACTACGTAAGCTACAGCATGGCTATACCACGTAAAAACCCTGAGAATTCCATTTAAATTTGGAGAACAAATTTCGCCCCTAGGAGTGGAAAATAAGGGTTGAAATTTTTAGGTAACTATTTAAACGACATTATAATCGTTTTTTGCCGACTTCCAAAAAGGAAACGGTACTCAATTCGACTGTATTTTTTTTTATGTGTTACCTCATAACTATTTACTGGGTCGACCGATTTCGATGATTCTTTATGAAAGCTGATAGGTACATCTCTTGTGGTCCCTTATGAATTTGATCAAGGACAGACCAATAGTTTTTGAGTTATTCTTAATAACTTATATTGAAGTCGGCTGTACAAAATTTTTAATTTTAAATTATTAATCCTAAGTCCACTCATTAGGGTCAAATAATCAAAATACAAAATATACAACTACACTTTAAAATCATATAAAGCATAAAATATATATAATTTATCGAGGAATTAAAGTCCTGACTTCAATGGCTTTAAAATTATGTAGTGTTTTCAAGTCGTTTATTTTAGTTTAGTTTAAAGTAGGTTATTTTTTTAAGTTTTTAGGGTTCCGTACCTCAAAAGGAAAAAGCGGAACCCTTATAGGATCACTTTGTTGTCCGTCTGTCTATCGTTTGTCTGTCAAGACCCTTTTGCTCAAGAACGCGTAGAGGTATAAGAGAAATTTATATCAAATACTCAAGTCTAATGTCCCTTGGAGCTGTGAAAAAATCAAAATTCTAAGCCAACGCAATCAAAAGATACAGCCGTTTATGCCGCAAATTTTCAACATTCGCAAGGGAATCAAAACCTACAGGGTACTTACCGTAAACTCAGAATCTTAAAATTTGGTACAAATCAACGTATTATAGCACAGATAAAGGAAAAATTGCGAAAAACATAAAATTTTAGTTACATCATATAATAAAAATATTTTTAATAATTTTAAACTTATATACCTACGGATTTGTTCGGAACCCTCGGTGCGCGAGTTCGACTCGCACTTGGCAGGTTTTTTTTCGGTGTAGTAATTGATTTTTTTTTAATTTAGTGATTATTAGACTGCCTGCTTACTAAAAAAGGATATACATCTAAACTTGACTCACAGAACCAATATAAATAGATTTATAACCCGCAATCGTATCCAGAACAAATCGAAAAGGAAAGGAACAAAGGAAAAATCCTCAATATATATTATCCTTTATTACATCATCGATAGAATTGTTAAAAGAAAATTAAACAAGAGATCGCAACACAATAAAGCGAGGAGCGGGAGAGCATAGAAGATAGAAGTGGGCGCCGCGCGGGGAGGGGGTCAAGGAATCTGTGCCGAAATGATAACGAAGTACGACGACCCGTTCATACTGGTACTATATACGCACTATCACACAAGCTTTATTTAGTAAAAATTACGTAAAATCAATTGGAAATGTTAAATTTAAAGCTTTTGGTAAACACACTTTTCTATTTCATTGGTTCTGGCTGCAGCTTAGATACTTTTTTTTATAGGATACGGGTGACAACGAACACACAGTCCACCTGTAAGTGGTTGCTGTGACCCATAGACATCTACATCTATCCTCGATTACAAATCAAGATACAGATGCGTCGTCACCCGTTAGGACTAAGATGGAATGTCTCGTTTCAAGTAAAATGGTTTCCGGTTCTCTACACTCACTAACTAAACTATTTCATGAAATTTAAAAATATATAAATCCCCAGTACTTTAGAAATAAGTATGACATTTTAAGATCTACTTGTTATTTTTTCTTTATAGATTTGTTTTATGTACACACTGTGAGGAACTTTTATATATCTACGTGATAGAGCCACGCTGCAGCTATATTATGGTTGTAGCACGAATGGGTCGAACAGCCGTAAGACAGTCAGTCGGAAAGACAGCAACGCATCTGCATTTTCATTCTTAATCGAGAATAGATGTAGGTGTGGATAACAGCATCCATTTACCGTCAGATGGGCTGTGTGCTCGTTTGTCCCCCATCTAATATATAAAAAATAATTTTTGTTTGTTCGTATTTAATGCACTGCCATACCGTTATGCGGTAAAACTTTGTCAACTTATTGCTTGTAATTGTGAGAAAGTTACAAGCATAGTACAATTAATCTTAGCAGCTGTAACACAGGTCTGTGACCTAGCACAGTTGCTAAAGATACCATAATTATAGTATTGAATTGGATTAAGTCTAAATTATATAAATTTTATTAGGTTTTATTTTATGTAAAGTGTTTTTGGGATCAATAAATTATTATTATTATTATTATTATTATTTACAATAGGTAGCGCACGTATCGTACCGACAAATTTATTTGAAAATTTTATATAATTTAATTTCAATGAAGGTTCCTAATTATTCCTAACTAAACAATGTAACTGTTGCAAACTGAAAAAGATATTTCCGCAATTAATTCTTCTTTGGCTGCAACGCGCCGGATACCAGCTGATATACTATAAAAAAGCCTAAAGTTTGCAACACATAAACCCCATATCATTATGTGGGTGTAATAAGAGACGACGGAGGAAAACGGAAAGAGAAGGTGTGCAGAGTTATCTTCCTCATAACTACTCAAAATCATAAAACTCAGGTTACCAACTCACCTGCCAAGCATATCACCGCCTATAAGGCAATCTGTTGAGAATCCCCCCAACAGTGGATTTTTGACAGGTTTAA